GTTGTTAAAGAAGAAAAGAATTTTTCTTGTGAAGAATATGAAGAAGTATATGAAGACGAAGAATATATTAAGGATGAAAATGAAGTAGAAATTTAAGAAGAGAAAATAAGGAGTTAAAGATATTATTAATGAGCAAAGAGAATAATCAACTGATATTGTAGCAGTAAAATAGGAATAGAAATCAAGATATAATAGAATAAGAGAAGAATGAGATAGGTTGAGAGCTAGGTTAGCTGATAAGGAAATTGTAATTGGGAATTTCAAGAAAGAATCAAAGAAATAAATAAAATTTCAAAATTTTATTTTAAGATTTTAAGTATTTAAGATATAATAATAAAAATTATTAGTTTTTCAAAAAAAATAGGGCTGAAGGAATTAAAGAAAATAAAGAAGATATCGATAAAGAAATTCAAGAAGTTGAAGTATTAAAAAAGAAATTAAAGAAGCTTGAAGAAATAATTAACAAAAAGAATATAGAAGTGTTAGAAAGTAATCAACAAAAATATGAGTTAGAAAAAGAGTTTAAAAATGTGTTTGTTGAAAGAGAAAGATTAAAAGTAAGATTAGAAAATTTAGAAAGAGAAGTAATTAATTTGAATAGAAATATAGATAATTTGTATAATATATATTGTAATATCTTGTAGTAATAAAATTTTTCTTGAATAAATTACTATTCTACTGTTTTTATAAAAATTAAAGTTGTTGATATTGTTGTAACTTCTAAATTTAAGTTGTTATCAAAAGTAATAAAGTATTTTTCAATAAAATATTTGATAAGTTGTAAAATATCTTTTGTTAGGACACTATCAATCTAAGCTGTATTGATTTTAATGATAGATTTAAGAATACAATATCTTGAAAGTCAAAGACTCAATTGATTGTATCAAATATTCAAATTTAAAATTTTGCTATAAGAATAAGTATAGTAATATTAAGATATATACTATATTCAAAATTATTCAAATTTTCAAAATTGTTTAAATTTTTTATTATGCACAGTACTTATTAGACCTACTAGTACTAGGCTATATATGTGATTTATAGATATTCTCAAATAAAGAATTCCAAATTCTTTCTATAGCATGTTTAACAATTATTTACGTGCCATTGTTAGGCTTAATTACAAGACTTAGTGCTATTCCAATTTCTGTTGTTGTTTTTCAATAAGGTAAAATATCTAACCTTCAGTTATTTTTGTCAGAAATAACAAACTAAATAAATAATAAATATAGTAATATGTAGATATATACTTATTTCTTAAAAAGAGTAACAAAATGATAAGAACTCTAGTCTCACTCAAATCTATCCTAGTCAACTATAATTACTAGGCCTAATAGAAAACTAAACTAAAAATAACTAAATTGTTCAAATAATATTTCTAATATAATAATATCCAATAAACTATATAACTATACTAAATAATAAATAAAAATAATATTCAAAATAATATTAAAATAATATTCATATTATAATAACTTGTAAGTTTAGAAACCTAATTGATTATAATAAGATTCTAATTTTATGACAACTTGTTTAACAAATTTTTCTTAAAAGCTCTTTGTCTTTGCAAAATAAAACTTATCAAATGCTTTATTTAGATCTTTAAAGGATTTAGATATGAAAGGATATAGTAAGAAATTTATATTAGCAAGATGATATAAGATTTTGTTTAACCTTATATCATTAACTCTAAATTGTAAGAGTTTTCTAATTTCAAGTAATCTTTTTTCAATTTGGTTGTTAGACAAATATTTTCATTGTCTTTTTCTTCTTTTAATTACTGGGTAAGAAATAATTTTACCAGGAGATTCAAATTTCCTTTTATCAGATAGTTTATGATCAAGATTATATCCTGGAGCTTGACCAAAGTCAATTATAGTTTCTTCAACAAGTTTTCAAGAATCCTGTTCAGAATCATATTTATCAGTATTATTATATTGTAAACACATAAGTTGGAGAGCTTCTTGTTCAGTAAGTAGATATTCTTCTATGGGTAGAACATCAGATACAGGTAGTTGATTCTTTTGATCAAAATCATCATCTAACTATAGGTTATAGAAAATATCTTCTATTTCAACAATATTTTCTATAATAAATATATTAGATAGATGTAGTAAGTTAAAAGAAATGTGATATAGAATATATATATAATAATTTAAAAATATTATATAGTACTGATCAAAAGAGAGTTTTTAATTAAATTTTAAGATTTTGATTTCACTCAAATTTTACTAAGATAACAAGGTTTGTGTATTAATTAAAAGTTGTTTAGGAGGTGTGTGTGATCCTAAAGACATTGAGATCTTATCAATCAGATATCTGGATAGTGAGATATTAGAGTTTTGACCATGTATTATATGATCTTTGAGGTAAAAAAGATCTGCAAAGAATTTGCATGAGACATTCTTAAATCGCCATAACAACTTTGAATACAGATATCGAGTTCCAGAAGGATTTTATACTAAGGTATAGCTTAGTACAAAAGATTCGTCAGTTATTCAAGAATATGTGGTAAAAATTTGAACTCAAACGAATCAAAATTAACAGAGTTTTCTTAGTAGCAATAGAGAGCAATTATTTTTATTTAAAATTTAATAAAATTATTCCTTATGTCTACACTTTGGCTTGTGGGAAATTAATAAAAAATATGAAGAGAGATGACTCTTAAGATTCAAAAACTTGTGTTTGTTTTAGTTGTATATAATATAGGTCAGCTAATTTTAAGGTTTTTAAAGAAAAGAAGAAAGTACCATCCTCTTGCTCAGTTGAGTCAACAAGTTTATCTAATTCTTGTTCTAAATACTTTTTATATGTTAGAACCTTGAGAGTAAGTATGTTTTCAATATATGCTAGTGTCTTGAGTGTGTTAATACCTCTTTTAGACATTCAGATTAAGAAT